CATATTTAGGAACCAAAAACACAGCTCCGACGTCAAGAAACTCACAGGCTAGTAGGGAAAGAAAAACCTGTAACCAGAGTCACAGGACAGGGCAGAGTGAAGTACAGAGGCTGCTACGCATCTCTGAGACTCAGCTTCCCATCTGCAAAATGAAACCGACGTCCCTTCAAGGGGTCACTGTGAGGCTCACATGAGCTGATCCACGTAACGTACTTAGAACCCTAGTCGGCACACAGTGAGCACGCGCGGAACGATCGCTTTTATATAAACAAAACGATCTGCGGCTAGTAATTCTTTTTTTTTTTTTTTTTTTTTTTGGTCTTTTTCCGTGTCCGGCAACGGATTGCAACCTTCAGTGTCGCCCCCGCACCGGACCGGGGACCGGCAACGGGACTGCAACCCTCGGCGTTGCTCCCGCGCCTCGCTCAGCCAGTGAGCGGGAACCGGTCTGTATGTGGAATCCGAACCCTCCGGCGGGAGCGCCGCCGCGCTTCCCAAGAGGCGCACTATCCAGTGCGCCACCGGGCTGGCCCTAGTAATTCTGATTGAGGGAGTTCAGGGAAGGGTTTCTGGAGGAGCTCGTAAGCCTTGGCACCCAACGTGCCAGTTAATGCTAATTTATAATGACGATAATTACAATTTGAGTGTCAGATCTGCTAACACTCCTTTGCATACATCGTCCCTTTCAGTGTCACTCCGCACGTGAAAAAAGTGAGGCTCAGAAAAACTGACTGGCTCCGAGGCCGACTGCAGAGCCTGAGCCGGGCCAGCGGGCTGGGCTGGGCCGAGGCACGGACCCCCATTTAATCTGGGGAGGGGGAGCTCCCGGGCTTCTGGCCCAGCCCCGTGGCGCAAGCCGTACTATTCGCAGCCTCCCGACCCCAGGACACTGGTCTCTGTCACGTACCTTCCATGTGTCCGCAGATATCCCGGGAAGGAGACCCGAAGCCCCACCCACGTCCGCCGGAAGCACACTTGCGTCACTTCTGCTATACGAAGTTATTACGAGTTGGTTAGCGCGCAGCCTTGTAACAACAAAGTCATGGGTTTGGAGCTCCGGACTGAGCAGCTGCCAAAAAAAAAAAAGAATTCCAAATAATTTATATAGATTCTCCACCCTTAAGTGTGGGCTGTGCCTAGTGACTTCCTTTCAAGGAGGACAGTATGAAAGGGGGAGAAAGAGCCACTTTACAATGGAGAAACCTGACAAACACCGTCTCATTCAGGTGATCGATGTCAACATCAACAGTGAAAGTCATGATGACAGTGTCTGTGTGACATGACAAGGCACTTTACCTCTGTGGTCTTTCTCCTCAAAATCCACAACCCCAGTCTAATCATGAGGAAAATATCAAAAAAAAAAAATCCCAACTGAGGGACATTCTGCCTGACCAGGACAAAATACCTGATCTGACCAGCATTCCTCAACACTGCCAAAGTCTGAGTGTCACAGCCAAGAGGAGCCTAAGGAGACATGGCAACTAACTGTCATGTGGTGTCTTGGATGGGATCCTGGGACAGAAAGAGGACATTAAGAAAAAAACTGGGGAAATCTGAATAAACTACAGTGTCTAGTTAATAACGACATATCAATCTTGGTTCACTAATTGTAACATATGTACTGTACAAACGTATGAGACTGGGTGTGGGGTGAGGACAGTTTATGGGAACTCTACTATCTGCTCAACTTTTCTGTAAAGATGAAACTGTCCTAAAAAATGAAGTCTACTAATTAAAAAAGCACACAGCTCAGTTGGTTAGAGCATGGTGTTATAACACCAAGGTCAAGGGTTCAGATCCCTCTACAGGCCAGCTGCCAAAATAAATAAATAAATAATAAAAATACACACAGGCTTTGTCTAATGATCTCGGGAACTTAGCCTACCATGAGCACGCAATCAGCTAAAAAAAAAAGAAAAAAGAAAAAGGACATAAACCTCAAAAGTCCTGAAGTCAGTACTGTATTTCAATCATAAAGAAAAGGCTAAATTACAAAAATGTCTTAATGCGTCTTTTTCTCATTTTAGTTTTTCTGAAACCACACAATTGGTACGACATTTAATAAGAGTAGTGTTTCTTTCTTGAAATGTTCTTTTAAACCTATAGTCTAACTTATAATAGGTAGACTCCCAAATTTGAGGAAGTGGTAACTTGAAGAAATACAACTATGTTTCAGCATATTTCTGTTTAAAAAGGCAAGGAAGCATGTAAAGCATTATAAACATTTCCATCAGAAAAAGGTTAAAATATAAAGATTTTATATGTTTGTGGGTAAGCTTTAGTTATCCAAGTTCAAATATGTACAAAACCTTAAATCCTGTGCTTGGCAAAGGGATGAGGTGCTGTTATACCCACATTTGGTGGCCAGTATGGTGGGTATTGAAATTTGGTCATTAGTTCATTAAACAAACATTTTAGTCTCTTATGTGCTATATTAAGGGTGGGGAAACTACGCTCATAGGCCAAATCTGGCCCATACCCTATTTTTGTATGACCTGCAAGCTAAGAATGGTTTTTACATTTTTAAATGGTTGGAAAAAAAACTCAGAATAATATTTTGTGACAAATGAAATGACGCCGGCGGCCCGCAGACGGGAGCCGTTGTCGCCCACCCCCCTCAGGCCCTCGGCCTCGCGCGCCGGCTCCCTCGGGCCTCCCCTTCCTCGGCCCCACCCCTGCGTCCTTTCTGCCCGCTGTCCCCCGACCCTCCCAGCCCGCGTCCCCACATCCGTCCTCCAGCGCCTGGCAGCAGGCCTGGACACTCACCCAGGAGGTGCTCAGGATGTGTTCGTTAAAAGGACAAGTGAATGACTCCTTTCTCAACCCTGGTTTAAGGCCGGGAAGGCAGACTAGGTGGTGAGGTTAACGCGTGGGGTACCCTGGGGTCAGGTCACCGCACTGCTCTTCCTAGCTGTGTGGTCGGGCAAGTCCCATCCCCTCACTGAGCCTCAGTGTCATCATCAGGAAAACGGAGATGGTAATAGTTTGTTCCTCTGGCTTGGTGGGAGGATTAAACGGGTCAGTGCATGTGAAGATAAGCACAGTGCCTGGCAGGCGGTACATTTCAATAAAGGGTAATAGCCCTGCTCTCATGACCTGCATCTGTGCTATCCCGTCTTCTTTCTTATTCCCCTAGTCCCATATTATATGTCGTCTGGCTTCTCATTACTTTAGTGTCTCCTGCTGTACTGCTGTTTCTCTTGCTTGCTCTTCGGTCCTCCTCTCTTTCTCACTGCTGAGGTTTACGCATTTTATTCTGTTCTGTTGCCTCTGTTCCATTTGTTGGCAGAATATGAGGTACCCGCCTGGGTGCAGCCTTTTCTTATCCTCTGGAGTGATCATTTGCACTTGGGGTTGACAGCCTCCTTGCAGCCAAGGTCTCATAAACTTTGAGGGGAGTTCTGGGAAATTCCCAAACCCAGATCCCAGGCTTTGGGCAGAATCTGGGAATGAAGCCACTGTTGTGCCTTGTGATCATCAGTGACTCCTGGTCTTTTAAGCTGCAAGACTTTTTGTACTGTCTCACACCCATCTATAATGCACCCTGATAAACCTCTGACCTTGCTTTTTTTTTTGGGGGGGGGTAACCTGACTTACATCCCATGTTCATTCATTCAGCAGGTAGTTATTTGGGGTCCACTGTGTGTCAGCCACTGTGTCAGGCTCTAGGGATGCTGTGGTGGACCAGACAGACCTAGTCACTCCCCTCAGGGAGCTCATAGTCTGGGCTTTGAGCTTTCAAACTAGAGAACCAAGTGCAGATATAGGGGATGCTCTACTTGAATTTTCAAGACTGGTTTGGAAACCAGTGGTTGGGAAGATGGAGTAAAGATAGTTCTCTTCTGAAGGAGTGACTAGTACCTTTTGTTAGGTTTAAGTTATTTTGTAGCCACACGGTATTTTTCAATAGAAGACTGTCTCTTACTGGATTTGTTTTCAGTTTTATCTTAGAAATGTTACACTTCAAGTTTGAGAAGAATCTCATTTCATATTAGTCTCTGTATAATTTGAACAAAATGGCTACCTTAACTTAGTGGGAAAGAAACAAAGGAATCAGGTATTAGGCAGAGCACTTGATTGAACTTGGAAAAATGAGGACGAGATCAGGAAACAGTTATACACATAATGAAAAGCTTTGGCACCAGGTGTGGATATTTTAGCTGTAGTGACGCACAGACAGCTTGGTGGAGTTAGGAGGGAGTAGTTAATGGCTTTGTGAATTGCTGAGGTGAAGGTGAACTGTTGTTCAAAATGTGTGTTCAATTTAAAATGAATGTTTTCTTTGGACCTGTGCATAAGTTCTGGTGAATTTTTGCCACTGCTTTATATTTAGGGCTATCGTAGTTGGGGAAATCTGGCACAGTGTTTTAGAGAGAGACTAGTTCAACCAATATGTATTGAACATTGGTTGTGCCATATTCTCTATGGGTCTTTTCAAGCACTACAACATATGAGGATATAGACTAGAAGGACATAGGCAAAGACTAGAGAGAGTCCATTAAAGGAGACAGAAAACAAATAATGATGGTGCTGTGTGATAACTGCCCTCATAGAGTTCTGTGAAAGCAGAGAAGGACCAAGCAAGTGTCAGAGGGAGTCTGTGAAGGCTTCCTGGTGGAGGAGAACTAGTTCTTACAGTGTGTGTTGGGGGGGAATGGGGAAGGGTGGAAGGGGACTTTGCGGAGACATACAGGTCACAGTGTGTTCAGGGACTGTGGTGGAAAGAAAGCTCATTGTGGCTGAAGCAGAGAGTGTGTGGATGGAAGAGGGGCTTGAGATGAAGTTAGATACAGACCACTTTGTCAAAATGTCCAGTTTCATGCTTGTGTTAGGCTTTAGCCTGTGTGCACTGGCTAGCCAGCAGGTATGGGTGCAGGGAAGTGACAAAATTTCATCTGGAAGATAAATGACTGCCTCAATTTCATTATGTTCTGCCATAAAAATTTAACACTTAAAAGAATTAATAGATGATTATAGCTAGACTTTAAAAATAGATTGTACAACAGGGATACTAATTGTCACTTCCTAGAGATTTTGGAGAGAATCCTTAAGCCATTAGGGTTGTCAGAGAACTCTGGTAACACATGATCATTGTACTGCAAAGTGGATGATTTAGACTATATCAGCACTAGCTCCAGTTTAGAAAAACTGCCCATGAAGGTGGCAGTTGGGTGTTATCAGTTAGTAGTGAAGGCTAGCTGCCACCTTCCAGGTTTATGGGATTGATGCAACTAATGCGGGTAGGAAGCATCATGACTTGAAGAGTGTCATAGAGTGGTGTTTTGTATTTTTAACTGAAATATTTGTGGCAAAGGAAGCATTATTGAATTTAAAGACTGGATTGAGAATATTCTTTTGCAGTAAGACCTGAAGTTAATATTTTATTTATTAATTCAGCAAATCTTTATTGAGCATCTACTCTGTGCCAAAGATACTATTAGGTACTAAGGATTGCATTGGTAACCAAGAGAACTCATGTTGCTTACATTCTCATGGGAGATATGATTATTAAGCTGTTTAGCAAATAAAGTAATTAGAGGTTGCGATGAGGATTTTGGAGGAAATATGATGGAGGGAAGAAGGGACTCTTGGATACTCTTAAGTGATCTGGTCAAGGAAGGCCTTTCTGTGGTTGTAATAGTTAAGAGAGAGACTCCAGGGCTGAGAAGAAGCCAGATATATAGAGTGAGAAGACCATTCTGAATAGAGGGAATAGTCAGCTGTGAAACCTGAGGGGAGAAAGAGTGGGTCAGTGGAACTAGAGCTTGAAGGACAAATGGAGAGGGCAGAGATGTGACAGAGGAGCTAAGAGGTTAGACCGCGTGTACGTCATGCATGGTAAGGCATTTGGTTTTTATTTTTAAAACACTGGAGAACCACTGAGGAATTTTGAGTAGGATGGGTGGTATGGTCTGATTTCTTTTTGAAAGAGCTGATTTTGGGGGCCGGCCCGGTGGCGCACTGGAGAGTGCGCCGCTTGGGAGCAT